GTATATATATATATATATATATATATATATATATATATATATATATATATATATACACACATATATATATATACACACACATACACATAGACATACACATCGTTTTTTTCTAACCGCTTTATAAGTTATCCATGAAGGCTAATACTGCTTTATAAGCAAGAGATCCAAGTTCGAAACGAGCCTCGGACATTCTTTCGTGTCACGGTAAGGAAGGAGGCGTGAACTTCCTGGTTAAATGCACTTCCGCTGTACTCTGTGACAAGACTGTTAGGTCTTCTTGGGGCACCTAATAAGCAATAAAAGAAAAATATTTGGGCTGGTTCTTCTAATGATACTTTCTCTTCTAGACAATGTCCAAAAACACATGGCAAATGCAGTTGGACTCGCTGTTATCTGTTAGGGTTGAACCTCTTTCCCATTGCTGTAAGGTTGCATTTCTTTCTTATTTCTACAAATATTAATATGGTTGCTGCTCAAAGGAGCTATTATCTTTAGTTCCATCAATTAAAAATCATTCTCACTTGACATGTCATTCAGCAAATCTGATAACAACAAATAATAAAGAAATTTAATGCATGTAAATTTTATACCTATAAAAGAGAATATATGTAAGCTTGAACCTATAACTATCCTTGGACCTTTAACTATAGCTTGACACTAAAATATTTTGCAAAAATGTATTGACATTTCCTTATATTAAAAATCTTTTTATTTTTTTTTAAATATCTTTTGTAGAAATTTAAATGAACATTGTTTTTGTTTTAAATTTAGTGTTGAATAAGTGTAAGTAAAATAAAAATGCTAATAAAAACTATACTCATTTAACTCAATTATATACTGTATTATGCATAGTAAAGTATACAAAGAAATTTTAAAATGCATTTATATTTTTTAATATTCAGAGTTTGTTAATTAATAGCGTAAAATAAATTTTTTTAATTTTGTTAGCTATAAAATTGCATAAATTTGTTAAGTGGAATATTTATACTCAGTTTTATCTTGATTGAAAAATAGTGATATTACAAAATTTTAATAGTATTACATAGAGGGAAAATAGTGTAATATGTATAATACATAAAAATAGTATTATGAATAATATATAATACTGTATTTTCCGCTTATTAATTACTAAATAAACTATGTAATTACACTACTTTTTAAATTTAATATGCAAATTTAACAATAATATATATATAGATTCTAAACTAGATTCTAAACAACTAATTTATAATTATTTAATAAAAAGAAAGTTTTAAAATTTCCTGATTAACTTCAACATGGTTTGTGTTTCCAGTAAAAACAATACTCCAGTAAATACAACAACTTCAGTGTATTATTTACGTTTCTGCTATTCGTCATGAAAATATTGCTTCATCAATTATTTTCATAACTAATAGCATATCCTTACTAACATAAATATATTTTTTTAGTATTTAAGTTTAACTTGTCAAAGTAACATTTTAGTAATTAAACGCTGCAACGAAAGTGTAAAACTTTCAATTTAATGGCGGCGAAATATGTTACGTGAAAATAATTTTACGGCAATTCCATTTGCAACATTAGGGCTCGAAAATATGCAACAATAGGGCATTTTTGTAACATTAGGGCTGTATATTTGCAACATTAGGGCAAAAAAGCCCTAATGTTACATTACGCGTAACATTAGGGCTAAAAAGCGTAACATTAGGGCTGTAAATTTGCAACATTAGGGTGATTACGACTACTACTACTACTACTACTACTACTACTACTGCTACTACTACTACTACTACTGCTACTACTACTACTACTACTACTACTACTACTACTACTACTACTACTACTACTACTACAACTACTACTACTACTACTACTACTACTACTACTACTACTACTACTACTGCTACTACTACTACTACTACTACTACTACTACTACTACTAATACTACTACTACTACAATTACTACTACTACTATGTTTACTTTAATGAACCAACTACCTTGATAAAAAAAACTGATCATATAAAGCAAGCGCTAATCATAGAAAACAAGTTGATCATAACAAACAAGCTGATCTGATACAAATTAAATAAAACAATCTACTGACCATATAAAACATTCACTGCAACGACCATCTTCCACAATAGAAAAACACAAATTATTATACATTAATATTTATTAGTAAAGATAATCTATGAATTAACTTCATACATTATCTTTACTAACAAAATTTAATGGAAATCATATGTCAAGCCCAATACATAAAATTTACAAACAAAAAACAATGGCTCTTCAAAAATTTCATCCAGATTTTATTACTTTTATATTTTCAAACTCATTATCTCCTGCAATATAACTTTGTGTTTTAATTCCGACCCACTTTTGTGCTCCTGCTACTGTACTCTGCTAATACAATTATTATTTTTTTTTTATATTAGTGAACTATACATATTAAAAATCACGTAGATACGTGTTGAAAGTCACGCGTTATTTCAATTGTAATTAAAAGTGACTTTTTGTTATTTTATATATAGAGAGACAATTTTTGTGTAAAATTAGTGAGGTTGAAAGAAATCTATAAAATCATTCGTTTTACTTATTCAATTCACGGACGCGATTATCCAACAAGCTATTTCGTAAACAATTTCCTCAAAAATGGTGCAGAACAGTTTGCGCAGCTAGATTTCCTGAACAAAACGACATATGGAAAATTCATTCAATCGGTAACTTTGGTGTCGCTCGAACATTACAACTTTGCTTGCAAAATAAACAGTATGTATCACGTAAGGAGGTTTCATTAGTAATAGGAAATTGTAACCAGTGCAACTCCATCGATCTTTATTCCTTATAGTGGAAGGATGGTCAACTAAGCGTAGAAAAAAAATTAAATCGAGTTGCCGTTGACGTGACGCATTTAGGTGCTGAACTGTACTTATCGATGATTGATTGTGGTTTATCACGATATAAAATATGGCGTAAATTAGTAACTAAAACAGCTGCTGAAGTTGTTGGTAAACTTGAAGAAATATTCTCTCTATTTGGACCGTCAGTATGTCCTAAAATGGACAACGAATTTCTGTCCAACACGTTAACAAGGTTTGCTTAAGAATGGAATGTTAATGTGGAACATCGAGCAGCACATCGAGCTCAAGGTAATGGTATAGTTGAACGCATACACATGGCAACAAAAAGAACAGTTGCTCGCTCACATTGTTCAATCGCTCTGGCAGTCTTGCTGTTCAACGAGACAATATCATCCAGTTGTACTGAAAGTCCATCCGAGCAATTCAAGAAAAAACCAACTTGTTCTATCCTAGGTATCGATATTCGGAGGAAAACAGACGAGAAAGGCGTAAATACAAAAATCAAAGAGAGAGACAAGGTGTGGGTAAAACCAACTCAAGAAACAAAATGTGACCAACCGGTAATACCAGGTGTAGTGCGAAAGCAAAATACTTTATCGTTTGACGTCAAATATGCAAATCGGGTATATCCGCGTCATATTTCACACCTGCGTCGCCGTACAGACCTATAGAGTTCAAATGAATCAGTCAACGATGCTTTTTACAGACTAAAAGATAAAACAGATAACGCTAAAGGAAGATATCACGATGGTGTTACTCAAATTCAAAATGGTTCTCAAGAACATGTGCTGCAAGTAACACGCTTCGGACGAACAGTAAAACCCCCATAAAAATTAGACTTATGAGTTAATTCACTAAGAGGGGGTATTCTCTTTTTATGTTGGTGAATTATACATGTTAAAAATCACGTAGATACGTGTTGAAAGTCATGCGTTATTTCAATTGTAATTAAAAGTATTTCCATGGGACTTTTTGTTATTTTATATATAAAGAGACGATTTTTGTATAGAATTATGAGGTTAAAAGAAAGCTATAAAATCATACGTTTTGTTTATTCAATTCATGGACACGACAATCCAACAGTTATAGTCGCTATTTTATAGAATTATTATATACTACATTCAGCCATGTTGCATTATTTATCTATCACAGTTGCTTAAAATTTATCTTGAACCTCTGCTAAGGGCTTGTTTTTCTGATTACTTAAACTCACATTTTGTCGCTTAATATTAATTATTATTTTCCTCTATAAATCCCATTCAAACTACTGTTTGGATAAGACTTATAGAGGAAAATGATAATTAATTAACAAAGCTTTTCGCTTAACTGTGGTTTCTTTATCTAAAAAAAAAACTGAGAAATATATCAAACATTTTGTGTTTAAAAAAAAAATAGTATTTACCTAGAGACTGATTTTGTAGACCCTTACAGTTTTTCTTTAAATTTTTCCTTAATACTTGATTAGATTGAAAAATTCCTGTATTATTTTCAAAATATAACTGCATTGGAATATCAATGGACGTTTCACAAAAAAAACAGATAGTATTATTAATAATAGCAGTAAAACTCTGATGAACTTCAATGTTAGATAAATTTGTTACCTAAAAAATGTTTTAAACAATAAGTTTAAGAAATTAGTTTTTCATTGGAAAAAAAAGTAATTATCAAAATAAATTAATGAAGTTTATTAAATTTGAATAATACCTTAAACTTTAATGTGTTTGGACCACTATAAACAAAGTCTACTGATGTATAATTAAATAGAAGTATTATGAAAGGTGGAAAAAAGTATTCCCAAGATATATTAACAGCTGGTTCACCAAGATTCCAATAGTATATTTGAAAAGTAATATACAAAAAAGTTCTAAAAAATAAACATTTTGTAATCAACTGATTTTAGAGATCCCAGCAAAGATATCAGCGTTGTATCAACGTTGAAAACAAGTCGCAGCCTAGAAAAAGCGTTACAGTCTCAAAAACAACGTGCTTTCAACGTTAAATCAATGTCTTTTTTTGTATACTAAATCGCGGTAAATTGAAACGTTGAATAAGCGTTGAAATTGTAACGTAATTTAGCTTCTCAAAATAAAACATTTATTCAACGTGAAATCAACTTACGCAAAAAGCCACTTTAAAAACGTTATAAAGTGTATGCTTTATCAACGTTAAAAACAAACCGCTTTTTAAACATAACATTTTCAACGTTGAATAAGCGTATAAATTTAAACGTATCTTATCTTCTCAAAAAATCGCGTTTATTCAACGTTGAATAAAAGTCCACAAATAATCACTGTAAAAAACGTCGCAAAGTTTATGGTTTATCAACGTTAGACATTAGCTGCTTTTTTAACGTATTTAAACTATTTATACAACAACGCTTATTCAACGTTACATATACAAACTTTGAAAATGTAGTAACTTGTAAGTAATGTAGTAAATGTAAAACGTTGAAAAAGTTAATAAACGTTGCTTTGAAAACGTTGAGGAAGTGGCATATCGAAAATTATTTTCTCAATAACTAGCCTTTACAAAAATAATTTGCTGTAATGGAAAGGCAAGGAAAACCTAATAGAACGCATGCATATAGTTTAAAAAACATTTGAATAAAGTTATATTTTAAAAGCTATTTTTATTGCGAATAATTTAAAACTTTTAGATTTTATATCAAATTGTATACAATATACAATAATCTCAGGGTAAATTCAATTTACTCATGTTATTTTTATCGATTTTATATTTATTTTAAATTGACCATTTTATTAAAATATTCAACTTTTTTAAATTGTATTTTTTTTATTTCTTAGTTAGAAACAATACTTAGTTTAAAAAAAATTCAGATGTGTAAAATATTATCAAAATTAATAAAACATAATAAGTAAGACTAAATTAAGTCTATTAACAGACTAAATTCCTAATTTATTTGAAAAACTTTGAACGCCTCACCCTAATTATCAAGTAAATATTTCAGTATTGATTCTTCCACCAATAATGAAAGTATGCATTAATATGTTTGTTTTTTTGTATAAAAACATGTTTGGATAAGTAACTTTATTTACATTTTTTAAAATAACTTCTAATTTTATCGAGGAAAATATCTAGTCGTGATTCTAGAGTTGGTGTTGTATATTAAGTTCTAACATTTAATCTTTATCATACATTTTTATTCATAAATATTTTAATTTTTTATATTAATATGTGCTTAGGCATGTATATATGGGGAAGTTTATGAGTATATATAAAAGTGTATATATATATTTATATATATATATATATATATATATATATATATATATATATATATATATATATATATATATATATTTATATATATATATTTACATATATATATATATATATATATATATATATATATTATCTGCCCCACAGCACTCGAAAATTGGCGTTTTTCGTGCATTTCGTGGTTTTCGGAGAAAAAGGTAATAATTTCCTATAATTACAAATTTCAGTATTTACATTTTTTTGTTTGAATTATTATGTTAGAATTTAATTATTTTATTTTTATATTATTATTTTAGATTAGAAAATTATTTTAGATTAGAAAATTCAAACAACCTCGCATTTGTGAGTGACGTCCGAACAAAAATAACAAGAATGGCTGGTGTTAGTGAGTGTAAGAAGCACAAGACATGGCTGCGTACCAATTGCCCATTTTTTGGAAATCCTTCATATTTACCAGAGACCGTTCTTCCCACAAATGCTGATGTGATGAAATATTACTTGTTCCTTAAAGACGAAATGACATATAGATCTGCAGAGATCCCTTCATTTGCTGAAGTTTCAAGTTATGTTTCATTGAAAGTCGAAGCATTGTGTCACAAAGCATCGAGTCCAATTATAACACACTAGCGGATTGTAGTGAAGATAAAAGAACTTCATGACTAACATCAAAATATGCTCAAGCCCTTAAAGAGGCGACAGAATGATCCTAACTATCAAGCAAAGATGCAAAAGTTTTTTACAAAACTCCAACAACAGCCACTACACCTAACTCCCTATTGTCTTCAAATATTGTCGAATTCAGTTCGCCTTCTGATACTGAAACTGACAACGATACTGATGTCCATTTTCCCTCAATACATTAGGTTCCAACTACTGGAACAGCAGAGAAAAAACAGATGAGAGCAAACATTCCAAATATCTCAAAGGAATGTGATCGCCATAGCATTTCAGATCGTGCTGCTGCAGCCATTGCTAGTGCCGTGTTGCAAGACGTTGGTATCGTGAATGACTGTGACAGCACAATGGTTATTGATAGAAGTAAAATTCGAAGAGAAAGACAGAAGGTTAGAAATGAACTTCAATCCCAACTTGCCTCTAATCAAACAGGTTTGTACTTCGATGGTAGGAAGGACAAAACAAAAATGCAACACAAGAAAGGTTCCAAGTATTATTACAAAATTGTTATAGAAGAACATGTTACACTAACTTAAGAGCCCCATTCAATATATGTCGGTCACATATACCCTGAAAATGGAACATCAGTTAAGATAGCATATGGCATAGTAGATTTTTGTGATTCGAATGGAATTTCACTAGACAATTTAGTAGCTGTTGGTTGTGATGGCACGAATGTCAACACTGGTGCATTGGGAGATGTCTATTTTGCAATATTTTCTCCAGTGCATTTAAGCGTTGATTCAACGTTATATTTCAATCTTTACTTGACGTCTTTTTTTTTTTTTTTCTTTTCAAGCATATCAATAAAATTTACAAACTTCATCGTAAATTAATATAAACTGGTTAGGTGTCACTAATATAGTTACAAACTAGTCAATAGAGTGACACCTAAGAAACATAAAAATTTCACGAAAAAATAAATAAATAAATAGAAAAAAAAAAAAAAAAAGGAAAATCTCAACATCTATATATATATATAAGAGAGAAAAGAAGAAAAGATTGTTAAACAAATAATAATGATATATGTAATAATAGTAGTAATAATACAAAATAATAACAATAATAATAGAGTACTAATAATATTAAGATTATTATAATACAATACAAATTGTATATGCAAATCATAGATGATAATTAGATATAATAATAACATATATATTTTTAAATTGAATTCTGTTAAGCAGTAAAAAATTCATAACAAGTGGATATTTTTTCTTAGACTTTTTTATTAATGCAGGAATACACTGGTTCCATTGAGAAATACATTGTTGTTTTATGGAAAACTTACCATATTTTATTGTCTTGAAAAAAGAATAGTATGGCTTACTTTTTTCTGTATTTCTATTGTGATGATTATGAACTTCGTTTGTTTTAATAAAAAAATTTAAAAAGGGCTTAGTAGTTTATTTTGGAGCAAGTCAAACACAAAAAGACAATTGTAAAACTATACAAGATTATGTAGTTTTAGGATTTTTAGTTCAGAAATTTTTTTTTCGATATCAGATCTCATTGAAGAAAACGTCATTATTCTAATAGATGCGCGTTGTAAACTAGCAATGTTATTAAGTAAAAAGTTTCTTTTTTGACCCCAAACAATACAACAATAGCAAAGGTGAAAAGAGAATAACGAAAAATAAATCATTCGAAGAGTTTGGATAGGAACATAGTAACGAGTTAGAGAAAGCATACTGTTAGCTCGTGTAAGTTTTATTTTTAGATGTTACAGTTGATTATACTAAGATAGGTTTCAATCAAGATTTATTGCAAGATATTTTATATACTTTGATGGAAAAAGTTTTTTACCGTTAATTTTAATATTAATATGATAAATAGTTTTTTGAGAGGAATGAAAAATAATGTATTCAGTTTTATTGACATTCAAGGAAATACGTTTACTATTTAACCAATTACATAAGCGATGAAGATCTTGATTAACTTTTTTACAAAGAGTCGTGAGGGTTTTTAAGATAAATAAAAGATTGGTATCGTCAGCATAATAATGGATCATAGAATTTTTTAATGAACAAGATAAAATAAATCTTTTAAGTCACGTTAAATCGACGTTTTACTACCAACGTTACAAATCTTTGCAAAATTGACTGCTATAACAACGTTGCATTACCGCTTTTAAATAACGTTTTTTCAACATTAAGTTGCGACGCTTATGCAACGCTGTTTAAGTAACCCTAACGTTTTTTTAACGTTACGCTACAACGTTTAATTAACGTCTTTTTAACAGTGTTACATACCTTTGCAAAATTGATTACTTTGTCAACGTTTCCGCAATATTTTTTATGACCGGTAGTCAACGTTGATTCAACGCTGACATGTTTGCTAGGTATATACTGTAAAAAATAAAAGATAAAGAATTTCTTAAAAAAGTAGGTAGTTCAACTTTTAGCATTAAAAGTAGATAATTTATCACAAAAGTTCTAGATTTTAATTTTGATAAAAAATTAAAAAATTATTCCAATTCGTACGTTTTGATATTTTGATATTTTTTATTCTAAAATATCTACCCTGAGAAGTGTAAACGAGAACTCCTCTGAGAAGTATAGCTGCGATCCTCAATGATCTTGAGCGCTAAATAACTTTAAAAAATTGATGTTTTTTAAAACAAATAAAAAATTTTTTCAAATAAAATCAATTTTTTTCATTCATTACAAAAAGTAAAAAAAAAAACAACTACTTTAAGGCATGAAAGACCAAAGTGAATTTGTTTTCGTGTTATTTTTAAAAGAAAAAATGTTACTTTTTATTTTAACTTCATGAGTTTCTAGTTTTAAAATGCAAGGATGTTGTTTATTTTCATCATCAAAATTCTTAAAATTTTCTTTTCCCGTAGTTTCACAAGCTTCTAGGATGTATGATCCATAAGATCCTGTAGTTTAACTTTGGCCTTTGTTTTACTAACTTCAATGGATGTTTTTAAGCATGAGCATTCGT